TCATCAATCAACCAATGACCAGTAGTGTTGATTTTGAAATTCACAAACATGATGGTTAAATAGGTCCTTTATAATATGGCTGGGAGTGATAGGTCGATGGGATGATTCATGTGTTCCATTTTTAAACATCATTCTTATTAAAATTGTTCCCCAAGTAACTAGTTCATCTTACTGACAGGCAGTAGAGTAACCTAGCCAGAAATGGTGAATGCTTCTTGGCTACCTATTGACTGCAATGAATTATTAGATTTTAAACTCGAAATTTTTATTTATTTATTTGTTGAGCAACTAACCTGTAGACTCATATCTTCGCTCATGCCTTCACGCCATACCGTAGTGTTGAAGCTTATTAATTTTCTTAAGATTATTATTATTATTATTTTTATTTAATTAATCAATGAATTTACTGAGTGGACTAAATTTGGTTCAATGTTTGTTTGCTTATCTTATCTTTCGACGAATGTAGTCGCAATAGCAATATTAAAATTCTCATTTAGTCTTTGAAAAAACCTATGCTCTTAATATATATTCATTTGTTCTTAAATTTTTTGGCAAGATTTTTAAGATTCGGCATTAAGATTTTGCAAAATTCAGTTTATATTTAAATGATTAACGGGTACGATAGCCAAGTGGGTGGTGGTTTAGACTGATTCTGCCATCGAGAGGAACGAATCGGCCATTAAAAACTCCGAGTGGTACTGACGACCCACCTATAAATCTATCGCCAAATAGCTCCCTTTCAAAAATTTGTAATTCCATAGCAATAGCCTGCGCAGCTAGCCTAACCAGAAATGATGAGTAATAGCCACTTATTTTATATTTAAATGATCACTTTAAAAACTACATAGCATATTTTAACGACCCAATAACAATATTCAATAACAATTTTATTGAGAATTTAAATGTTTCGTTGTTTTTTAACAACGTTGATTTTAGGTCATTTATTATACCAAAATATCATCATTTGAAATATAATAATAGTCTTAAAGGGAACACTTATCAATCATTGTCAATGAATTTATTATGACAAAAATCATCGTCGGTTTGCCTTATGGGTATACTTTCAATAATTTGCACCAATTTTTCTTTTCATTTATTGTTTGAGCATTCGATTTATATATATATATATATATATATATATATAACTTGTCTGAAATTGCCCATTCAGTATGAACTTTGCAAATATCTTAAAAATAGAATTAAAACTTCACCTACTATACAAAGATACGACTATAATTCGATTTCTGCTTCTTTATGGGATATCTTTATGAGCAACAGTGCATGTGCAACAGCAAATATGATTCTATAGATCTCGTCTTTTTGTCCTTATCATTCTTTTTTGATGAAAGTTATTTGGAATCGCTTAAAAGAATAGTGATTGCAATTGAATCTCGAAGGTTACCTCACTAAGTACAACTGGGATCTCTTTTGAGCACTTCATATGTGCACGTCAGATGTCGATGTTTCAAGTGTGAATTATAGATGTATCGATATACCGATATAATTTTCCATTTTACTCGTGCGATCTTTGCGTTTTATTATATCAGTTCCACTCATAGATGGGCATAGCAATGCAGAGTCTGTTCAGGAATTATCAGTTTCAAATTATATTTATGATCTTAGCCATATTTAATGAATGCGATAATAAAAAAATTTATGAATCACATTGGCCTCTTATCATGCAAGACCTAGTTTTTATTTCTTATTGATGCAGCCATGCACAAAACAAGCAATGATTTCAAAAAAAAGTTTTAAAGAAACTAAGGTGCAAAGGTGAACAAGATGTACCTGTTTTGATATCAAATAAGAACTGAAAGAAAGCTGCTGATTCAATGGACGAATGGCAAAACAAAGAATATCCATCATGATTTGGGTATGCATGCTGGGATATATATTATACAAATCATTAAAATTGGTAGAATTATTAAAACAATGCTAAAACTATTGCTAACAACCTATTTCAGGTCTTACTTAATCATCGATAATTTTTGTACAGACACCCTTTTACAGTAGTCAGTAAGCTGTCGAAGACGAATAACCGTTTTCTAATCTGATTTTATCGCAGCCATAAAAAAGAAGGGAAAAAAAAGGAAATCAGAGAACGAATATATGTGAGGAGATTCTAATCATCAAAGGAAATCGTTTGCTGTTAGTGATTGAAGGGATCTACTCGAGAATGATTGAAAGCATTTACTCGAGAATGACAAACAACAGCAATTAGTCAATCAGAACGCTGAAAGACAAGGCTTATTTCGTATAAATTACTGACCAAAAAGACAGTTCTGAGAACCTTTTTGTCAAAAATTTGTCGATAAATTCTACCAGATTGTTCTTTATCATGTCTACTTTAATTTTTCTTCCTTCATCCCTAAATTGTTTAGTAAAAAGGCGAAAAAATTCAATTCAGATCGCTTAAACTAATTATGTATCGTTATAGATATCTGAATTTACCAATTTTTACAATATTATTTGGATAAGACCAGTTGCGATATTAAAAAAGTACTTGTGCACCAGCTTATTAATATTTTTAATGTTATATTATTTATATTAATGTTATTTTTAATAATTTTAATATTTAATGAGTCTTTTTTGTCAAACAGGAATGGACGAGTGGTACAATTGCCTCGAATTGTTTAAAGCACCATAATTTCGATTCCCTATCATATCAGGCGAAATCTGCCATTAAGAAGTCCATGTAATATTGACTAACCTATTGCTAAATGACTTCATGGCTAAAGCAAAAATTAAAGCAACATCAATAGCTAACCTAACTAGAAATATGAAGCACTAACCACTTAATTTTTCTATCATATGGCTCATCATTATAAGAAAAATTCTTTCTGAAAATTTTTAATTTTGTTTAATTTAATTTAATTTTATTTTGCATCTTGAACTAATTTTTTCTGCAGTTTAACCACATATAGCATGGACTTATTATCGCTTTGGCACGTATTTTAGGATTGAATAAATTATAAACTGCCTCTTTTGTTGATCAAACATTTGCCAATCTCCTTGGAAGATCTGGAAAATGATGAAATTCTTGTAAAGAATTAACTTATGTTCAAGCTGATTGCCATTTTTTTCTCCTAACTCATCTTAATTATTCTTTTTTCCTTTATAGCAATTCTTCTTAATTGATTTAACTTTTGTTTTTATGGTTATTTCTACTTGTTTTCTGTTCTTATTTTTTTCCACCTTTTATCAAATTCTGGGCTCGAATTCTTGTTCTCGACAAAAGGTCCTTCGACTTTTCATATTGTGCGTCCACTTAATTATGTTCATTCTCCAAAATTTTCCATATTTTCCATTATGTTTGCTCATCGTGTATCGCTAAGTATCGCTTAATTAAGGACTTATATTCAAAAAATTCTTTTTGACTACCTTTAGGGATAGAATGAAATCTTCCTGGATTTCCCTGGCGTCAAATTTCATAGTTCGAGTTTATGAGACATCGAATGCATATTTCTTCATCATCTACATACATCTTGAGCATATCAATCCGAATATTGTCATATGGTTGGTTGCATATTTATCTTCGCCCCACCCTTATGAATATGTTCCGCCTTGTATTTCAGTTCTAAAATGCCTTGACTGAATTCCTTCAATATAATCGACTTATTGAATCTTTTTGCTGAAGTGATCAAGCTATTTTGGATATTTGATTTTGTTTTTTGGTTATGTTACTAGCCAGATGCGTGCTTATATATATATATATATTTATATAAAATCAGATAGCTTTTTGGTGCATCTGATCCAAAATAGCTATCTTATCCCTTGTAATTTTACATTACATAGATTTCTTTTCTGTTCTTATAGATTTTATTTGATGGCCTATAAAGTTGAAATTTTTTTTGTCGTTATGCTTGTTTCTCCTATAATAACCTGGAATCTGCGAGGAAATGGTACTTATCTTAATTATTTGCTTAATTATCTTAATTATTCAACCGTTACATATATTTTAAGTTTTTTCCATGACATCGAGAAACAAGTTTTTTGCGAGATATATGCCGCTGTCATATTACTACAGCGAAATATAATGTTAAGTTCTGGTGCTATTTTAAATATAACATTCCAGCTCGGTCAATATTAATTTTCATCTATAATGGCTTCACTGAATCAAATCTCGCATTCATTATAGTATTAATCATAAAACGAGGTCATAGTTGTTGAAATTTCTTATCAAGAATAATAAAATGGTTCAATGCCTAGACAATAAAAATTAAAGATTCTTTTGTTGACAAGAAGAGCCTTAAGAAAGTTGTTTGTTTCAGCTTATATAAAGGCTTAAGAAAGTTGTTTGTTTCAGCTTATATCTCTTGAAGATAAGACCAGAAAAGAACTAAACACGTCTTTGAAAAATACAGACAGAATGAATATTAACTGAAATCTATCCTAATTAGTACTCTCCAATGAGAGAAAAAAGAATATAAATGGACGTCTGAGGAAACATGAGAACATGGCGATCTAACGTACCTTTGACTAAGATCAAAGAGTTCAATTTTTTCGTTCGGCGGGAATAAAGCTACTGTTAGAGGTAAAATTCGGATCAAACTGAGAATCTACTGGTAATTCTGTCCCTAGTGATTCTCAGAAGATATGATACAACCTTGGAAATCGTTAGAGCCAGCTAAACTAGAAAGTAAGCCTTCTCTGTCGACGATTTCAAAAATGGAATTTTGATGTTATATGAATAAATTACGAATTTCTGATTTTTAAAATGATTAGTTTCTTCATCGAACATTCGTAAAACGGTTTTGTAATAGCAAAAAAGTGGATCTCAATTTTCTGCTTTATAATGTATGCATATATTTTAGCTGATGATGTATACTATTCATCTTCGTTTAATTAATTGTTTCTTAAAATTCTCTGTTGCACATTATTCTTGATTTATAAAATTATTTGCTGCTTTACGAAATTTTTTTCACTCATCTTTAATTTTTGATAAAGTGATTTTTTTCAGCAAAGCGCTGCAGTATGAAAAAAATTAGCATTAATTAATGATGCCAAAAGAACAATATATGTGCCAGCTGTGTGCAAATCATGGCGTCTTCAATCAACCGAAAAAAGGCCACAAACAAAAGTGTCCACATCGTTATTGCCCGTTAGTCCAGTTCTTTTTTTTTTTATTCATGTGAGTAAATATCTCTGAAAGTTTTTTGGAAGTTTTTTTCTTTTATCATCTTATTTATTCAATTTGTTCTTAGTAATCGCTGATTATTTAATATTATAAAGGAATTTGCTGCTTATTATTTTTATTTCTGATTAATCATTGTCATTAAACTTGGCATTAAAATGTATTTGCTACAGTATCTACCTGGTTAGGATATTTAGCTATTTTGGTTACTTCTCTTGATTTAATCAATTCCTATTGCCTTTACTGTAGTTCATAGCGGTTTTCCGATGTAATCTCTTATCCCTACAATGATAAATTTTGTTAAAATCGTATCTTATTCATTCTAAGTGGAATTTCACTAAATAGAGTAAAAGTAATGTAATGTGAAAGGCATGAGAGATTTGCAATCTGTGGTGAATTCTTTGCTCTATTCAGATTCTAGAGTATTGAATAAGCAATGAAATAAGATTTGTCACGGATTCCATTAGAATACAATAAAAAACACGGTAAAAAATTATGATAAACGATTTGCTTTAGACTTTTTTGCTTGATTTTAAAAACAACGATTCAAAAGAATAAATCATCAGTAGTTTAATCGCTAAGTTAAATTTGCACATTAAATCGTATTGCTTATTAATGACAGATGAAAACAAAGTGAAAAAAAGGAGCAAATATGACTGATCGTTTCTAGTTAAAGTTATGAACATTATGCATTAAGCATCAATTTTACAGTATGATTTCAAAAAAAGGCAAAAAACTATTTGGATTTGCTGAAAGTTTGAGAAGATTTTTTCTGATCAATCAATCCAATCTTTACGATGATTATGAGATAATTATGATCATGATGATTATTTTCCAAATGTTTTCTTAAAAATTGAAAGTTGACTGACTGTTTACCAAAGTATTCAATTAATTAGCACTGATCGGCTGAATCCATTTTTTAAACAACAAATCAGTGCCCCATTATTGTTTTTGTTTGCATTCTGCTTTTTTCTTGTTTGCGAGGGAAGGAAAAGTTTCTTAAGCTGGATCTTTAGATTTAGCCATTAGTAACTGCACCAACCAATGGTTCTAAATACTCCTTTCTTTTGTTACAAAGAGTGGTTCAACAATATAAGAGAATCAACAAAGAAATCCCTGAGATGAATTTATTGAAAAATAGCTAAGAAAGACGAAGATTATGAATAATTGCAGTGATGAGCTCCATGGCTATGACGAAAAAGCCTAGAAAATGAGGTATATTTGCCTACTTTCTATAAGCTACCCGTTAAGGTGCTTGTTCTTGCTCAGAAGAGAAATGATTAATGTACGGCACGGAATATTTTGATAAATTGGCCAGTGCATTGGCAAACTTTTTTTCAGCAGTATAAAATATGATACTCTTCTAAATAATTTCCAAATGCTTATAATATTCTATCCACTTTAATAACACAGGTTCTTCTTTTTTTCGGTGCATTATAACTACGTGCATTGGCAAACAGAAATAATTATTGTTTGGTCTGGAAGTTTAATTTTTTTATTGTTCATTTCACATTCACGTAGAATATTAGCCCTACTTTCCGAGATTCTGAGAACGTTAATTAATTAAAGACTTTCTCAGTCCTAACCTAAGCCAATATGGGTGGAAGACAATTAGAATACCGCATGAAATGTTGGTTTGATCAATTAAATGCTGGTTTAATGATTCTTGAGATTACACTATTATTTCCAAAGCACTTGAAAGTCTTCATATTTTATCTTTTATGATACCTCCTATGAATATTTGATAGCTTTGTTTGGCCTAACCTTCTTTTTTTCAAATTCATTTGGTAAAAAAAATTGGGCATTTGGAAAACAGTGTTGAGCTTAATGTGGTAATTAGATAATAATCAAATTTAACACACACTAATAAAAGCTTCGGTTTCCATCTGAAGCTGGAGAAACCGAAAGGCTCGTCTGCAGCTAAATCAAATAATAAAAGTTCTTTTGATGTAATCCGCTAATTTTTCTTTTTTTTCTTACTAGACTTAAATTTATGAATTTCGATTGTGCCGTTTACTCAGTTTTTTATTTTGTATAAAATTTTATTATTCATTGATTTTCAGTGATGTTTTTGGTTAAGGTGTAGTTTATGTGCTCTAAATACTAAAAGAAGAGCACTTGATCAGATCGAACGTCAACTGAAAAATGCTACATCAAATTCGCTAACAATGTCAAGCATGAAGGAGAAGATTGAATTAGGCCAATTCAGTCCCTTCCCATCTGAGTCAATGGAAGTTACTGAATCAAAATTTAGTAAGTGCTTTTGTTTTTTTCATTTTGTTTGAAAGCTGGCAGAGCTTGCTTTTCGAAATCTATTTCGATAATACTGTGTCTTTTCTCTGATAACATTGATGACATAACGTTAGGCCTCTAAAAGGCTTATAAGAACTTCCATACTTTTTATTAAAAAATAGGCTTAAAATTTATTTAACTTATTGTTACATGATATTCTGTGCTCCTTGATCAATTTATTTTTCTCATTTATTAGAGTTTGTGTTTATTGAGAAAGCTACCGACAAAAAATTTATGAATTTTGTTGTTGCAATTAAAGTTAAGCGCGATATAGATGATGATTTATTTTAGTAGTTTTTTTGCAAATAATAAATATTATTATTAAATATTATCATATCATTAAAAAAATATAAAGATTAATATTTAACGATTACTTTTAATTATAGTTATGCATTTATTCACAGTTTGTAAGTAGTTAGTGCCAACCATTTCTGGTTAGACCAGCTCGCCTGGCTATTAGATTTATTAGAAATTTTTACCAGAAGATCATCTAGCGATAGAATTACCATAGATCCCTGGATTGGTCGCCAGCACTTTTTTAATGCTCATGTGAAAGACAGGAACCGAAATGTTGCGCTTGGCTTTTAAGATAATCTGGACGGCTACCCAGTTGGCTAATTTACTTTCTACGTCAGTACGAAAACTAAATTGTTGATAAAATAAGCAGAATAACAAAATTTTGTCGAAAAATTCACTTTATTATAAAATGCACTTTTTGATCGCAAATCTTGTATATTGTTTTTTGGTTGCAAATTGCTGCAGTTTATTAATGCAGTTTGTTAACACAAAATATTAGGATTTTATGGCAAAATAAAAGATGACCAAGGCGGCGAAATTCAGTATGATTTGTGTGCGAATATTTCAACAAAGTTCAGTCACAATTTGTCAGACCTCCAAGAATGTTTTTTTTTGTTTCGCTTTTGTCGGCATTTTCTTTTGCTAACAGATCTCATTTGTTTCTAATTTCAGTTTTTTCGCTCCTATCCACTAAGCAATGGGTTTTGATCATTGTTTCTAGAAAATTTTGGTACATTTTTTGCACTAAATGGTTTTTTTGCTTGTACCAGAAATTAGATTTTTAAGGGATCAATTAATATTCACAAGCACTTTAGCAGCAGCACATCATTTTATTGTGGAAACAGCAAACCATAATGAGCAACATATAGCTTTGTTTCTTATCAACAACTTATTGTATAACTTGTTGTAAAATTTGCAAGCGATATATCAGATTAAAGTATTCAATTATCTTTCTTCCTAGAAGCATACATAAAACGTTCTTCTCGTAGCAACAATTATCCTTTAATGATCTTCGCATAATGATTTATGACATTTATGTCACATAACATAATGCATTTCCGTTCAGCAAAAGACCATCATTTTGAAATCACTTAGTGCACTAAATGGTTTTTTTGTTTTATTTTGAATATTTCTAAATTAGCGATGGAATTCTATAACTATTTTTGTGATGCAATGCAGATAGTACTACGGTTTTCTTAATTCGGTTCATGGACGGAGATTCGTATGTCTGGCCATATAATGATTATTATTTTTTATGGCTCTTAAACTATGGTTCAATATCGACGTTTCTTCAATTTTGCATGGGAATCATTTTATTACTTTTTACTTTAACAAGAATAAACCTATCATTAAGCGTCAAATCCGAATAGTGCTTGGATATAGATAATTTTGATTAATCAGAAAAATCAGAAATTAATTCTGAACAATTTACTGATTGATTCTGCAGCCTTAAACTAAACATTACCAACTAAGAATAAAAGAATTTTTTGCAATTTTAAATCGATCTGAGGTTTTTTGCTCCGACCTTTCTCTATGTTTCTTGTTATAAAATTTTCAATTAAAAATTTTCGATGTCGATTTATTTACAGCTGAAAGCAAGTCAATAATTTTATGGTTTATTTATGCAGATGAGAATATTATTTAAAAGGAAGTATTTCATAATTATAAAACTTGACAATAGAATTTTAAGCAAATGAATTTCTCAAATTAGTATGATATACTACTCAATTTAACATTAACGCTAGAAATTAGGCAATCTAAGAAATAATTTCTGGCTTCTTTCTGACTATAATTATTTTCACACTGTGTCCTAACACTCCCATTTTTATTTAGTAGGGTAATTTCAGAGTTCAAATACCAAAGTTAATCTAGCTGAATTGTTTGCCATAATGAAGATATGAAATCTGCGAGTTCTAATGAAAAAATCTCTTTTTCATTATGCAGATAACTGGGTGATGCTGATGGCTTACTTGTAACCCACCTGTACTTCTATCGCCAGCTGAAATTTCTGGCAAAAATTTCAAACCGCATTAACAGCCGGCGGAGCGGAATTGAACCACAAATATCTGATCCGAAATAACTGTCTGATCCCTTGTAATTTTACATTATTCAGATGCCTTTTTCTATCCTCATAGATTTTATTTGATGGCTTATAAAGTTGAAATATTTGTTATCGTTATTCCTTTATGATAACCTCAAATCTGTTAAGAAAGTAATTGTGAGTTTGAATTAAAACCGTTGCAAAAGAAGAAAAAACTTTTTTTATGTAAGTAGTTTTTACGTCAGGCAGTTTTATGCTGTTTTTATATTTCATATTCGAAACTCGCTTATATTCACTGAAAGAACCAAATCTTTCATTGTTCAATAACTAATTTTTATAACGATAATTGCTTCGTTTATTAAACTTTGACAAGGAAAATATTTGAGGAAATGTCGTTTCGTTTGTTAAAATTTCTTTTAAGTTATCATCATAAATCGAGTCTAAAAAATGGCATTTTTTTATTCAGCGGAATATACGAATTTATTGGAAATGAACTACACTGCTAATTTCAACGAGCTTTTTGAAAAGCCATTCCTCAATTTGATACAGTAGTAAAAGCATTTATCTAGCATCGGTTTCAGTTTCTTCTATGAACAATTTTCGCAAAACTCCGCCTCCAAGGTCGACAAATATTTCCCCATTTCGGCAGTTACCTACCAAAAACAAGTAATTTTTTTGCCAACCACCTATTCATCGATATCTTTTCTCTATTTTTCATTTTATTTGCTGTACGAGTTGATTTATTAGTTAGTAATCCAAGAATAAGTGCGCTACAATGTTTTACGTTTTAATTTGAATATCGCGCATTACAAAGGCTCATCATTATAACCGTCTGTGCCTATCCAGTGCGATCTTGTGGATAAAAATATAGATGGATTCCCTAGGATGCCCTAGATTAATGATGAACTTGATATGGGAAATTGAAATATTACAGGGCAACATCTTGATGTGATTTTGCGATATAAACTCATAGAATACCGTGATTTTCCAAAATTTAATTATCGCTGGTCTTCACTAAGTCAAAAAGTCAGAAACAAAGGAGCCCTTGAAACTTTAAGGTAAAGGAAGTTGGTAGATAAGGTTTTTCCTATTTTTTCGATCAGTACCTGACGGTTTTTGCGAACGACTTAAAGTACCATAAAAATAAATATAAGTTTAGCCCACCAACAGCAGCATACTGCGTTGCACTACCAGCGACTATAACGAAGAAGGCATTGAAAAGAACAGCGAAGCGTATGGACGAAACTGGAAAAAAAGCCAGAATTCTTGAAAATGCTATTAATAGCATAACGCAAAGGAATCGAAATCGATCCATTTTTCATTCAGTAGAACAGTTGGCCAAATCCGGTTGATCCGTTTTATTTCTTTTTTTTTCGTTAATTTATTACCTTATAAAAGGTATTTCGAAAAAACATTAAGATCTCAGAATCTCTTATACCACAGAATGTAAGTTTTTTTAGTTGAATTTGGTGCTAATTAATTTTGACTTAAATTCATACTCAATTCATATTTAAATATGTATCTCGATCAGTGGCTGCTCAGTTACAAAAAAAAAATCGCTGTTAAATCTGATCATAAATTTTTACTTTAATTTGATTTGATTCCTTTCAAAAATTGTGGTTTGATAATATTTTTATATTATCCCCTAAAAATATTTTTTGAAAATTCCTAATAAATATTCAGCTAATTTTAATTCAGTTATAGATCATCTATCTGGATTCTATTACAATTTTTTTTCATGTTTATTATGATCAGCCTTTTTTGTTAATTTTTTTAGTTACTTTTTATCATCCTGAATTCACCATTTTGAATGGTATTAGTCAGTTCGATTTTGAACAAATAAATAAAACTGAACTAAATAAAAAATGAAAAAGTAAATAAAAAAGTCGCTTTTTTGCAAGTGAAGTACATAAGAATGTCATAAGAATGATCTTATAATGTTGAAAAACTTATATAATTACGACATAAAATCAAACTGGAATTATCTTATCATTCACAATCCGAGTAAATATTATCTCAATAATCAGCGACTTCGCACAAATAATTTCTGGAGATTATTTCTGGCCGTAAATTGAGAAAAATGCATATAGATTTTAAACTTGAACGCTAATTAAATATTCACACTGGTTATATTTCCTTCGAACGTCGGTTTTTCTAGAGGTGAACTTCGATGCATCGTATTTCTTAAAGATCGCATATATACAATGAGATCAGCAATAAATTTCATTAAATTAAATGACGAATAAAAATTCAAATTCATTTCGACATAAGTCGGGGTTTTTATGAAAATAGAATTGAATGAAAACTTCTCGTTGCTTGACCACGTTAAAATTTAAGTGGTCATAAACTTATTAGCGTCGTTGAAAAAAATTTTATGGTAATTTTATGGTAAAGATGAAAATATAAGGATGAAAAGTTTATTTAAAAAAATAAATTTAAATTTGTAATCAGCTAATTAGAATTTTTTCGAAAATCTCATCAAATTAAGCCAAAAGAATAAAAATTTATTACGAGCTAAGACAGGATTTGGAATTTGAGTGGTAAAATATGGTTTTGCGAAAATTTGTCAGGAAAAATCTTTACAACTACATAAATCTTAGGTGACTTTACGCAACAGTCACTATTAAAAAAACCTTCGAAACATGCGTTTTAAGATCCATATTTTTAAAAGGATTAGAATTCGAACAAAGGTTATGAAAGTGGGGCGGATAGGAACTTTGATTATATTCAAGAACTCTGCAAATCATGAACTAACTGATCCAGAGAGGCTAATGTTCGTTGGAATATTAAAATATAGCGTAAACAAAAATTTTAATAAAGAATAAATTTAGAGAAATTTGTATTTAGATTTGTATTTAGAAATTTTAAACCGAAACAAATTATATTTTCTACCAGCAATAATTGCTAATTACGATCATATGGAAGAATCGGTTTTGATACTGATTTCAAAGCTGATAACATTTTATAATTGTTCTTCCACCATTACTTCTGGGCTGGCTCTACTGCTTATTAAGATAGTGCCTTTTTTCTAGAGGGCCTCTCTAGAGGAAGATAGAAGTAAAAGCAGATCGCCAAATATGGCAAGTTTGCTCATATTAAGAGAAAAAAATCGAGCCAGAATGATTTGACCTCAGTCGAAATGTAATATTATTTAATCGTCTTATATCAACTATTGCTTAAGAACTGATTACGTATCGCAATGCATTGTTGTACCATAAAAACGATTTGAATAGCAAAAACTGTCGTTTTGATGCTGAAGTGGCATGTAATATGATGGCCCAGGTGAGAAGCAATCAAATTTTCATAGCCGTCATTTGTCATCAAATTTATTGCTGAATCTCAAATTTTCCGCTTATTTTTTTCACTCACATGTTGTATTGGACCACCTTTCTCCAATAGTTTTTTCAATAGAAAACACAAATTGGCAGCCAATAAAACATTTCCAGAATCTTTCAAATACAAAATTAAGTTAATCGATCGATGTAGAGAAATTGTGGAAATGTCAAAAATTTGAGATAAATAATGGAAATCAAAAATAAATTTAAAAGCATATTAACAAAATAACTTTGACCACTGAACTGACTACAATTCTCGCAGTAGTCATCAATAAACTTTATCTCGATTGATAATAGTAATAAAGACAGTTCGAATCACGATATCTTTCTTTTCTGTCTTATTTTATGGGAAGACCAATGCTCGTGGCGTGGAAACCGAAACCTTTTTTTTGAATGCAAAATGAGCATATTTGCAAGAAAATTTTTGGACCAATATATATGAAGCAATCCATTTTCACGCTAAAGCTAAACTTATAGCTACGTAAAGCAATTGAAATAAGTGGATGAATTTTAATAAGCTGAGAAGTGAGAATTATCTTCAGAGACAAGGAATGAAGAAATATTTCTATTTTCTCAAAGAGAAAAAAATCAGGAGACGGTAAAAAGATAAAAATAAGTCCAATATAAGATAATCAAAATGATTATGGAATGGAGCTGTTTTTTTCAGGCAGTAAAAACTTTACCTCGATGTTGTAGCTTAAGCACTGAAGAACTTCATATCCATTTGTCTCACAATGTATCACTTGCCTTTTATATATAAGTGCAAAGTACAATAGTACATATTTGCAATGTATTCGCAATGTTTCAAGCGTTTTTGGCGTTCGAATGGACAAATATTTCACAAATTGCAGAATCCAAATTGCAGGCAATAATTATTTATTGTGCGTGGGGAAATAATGAAGTAGTATGAGGCGCAGATGGTGTAGACTGTCTGGCGTCGCTATTTGATTTATGTTAATTTTGATTATATATGGTGTTTGGGTATTTCAATAACGATTTTTCAGGTCATTATAAGGTTTGGCTTCATTTCTTCAACGAAAACATTAATGGGATCTTTCATATGTAAAAAGAAATGGAAAAATAAAAAGTTACAATATTTGAAAAGATTCGATTTCGTAAAGAAGGAAGGATTCATAGCCTTAAATTCTTTTTATTCGAATGCATTGTTTATGGTTTGACATGATTTACTGACTACAATGAGGATTAACCATTAACGCTCGATTGATAACTTTGATATGGTGAATATAAATTGGCTATGAATATGAATATTCGACTTTTTTTAAAAAATACCTTTATAAGGTTTTTTTAGCACTTCTTTTCTTGACTTTCGCTAATGGTTAATGGTTGATTAAAACCTTGCTGATGAAAAACAAGAAATTATGACTTCGAATAGTCCATGAAAGTCTGACGATTTTGTTGCACAAAATTTATTTCAAATGGTCAAAAGCCTACTTGTGAATAAAAGGAAATATCTGTGAAGAAACGGTAAGTAGTAGTTGTTTGGTTAATATATTGCCAATAATTATATAATATTCAATAATTAATCAACGCTAATTGCCCAATCATTTCTGGATATCATTTCTCGATATCAGCACGGCCAGAAATTTTCGTCAGAAAGTCACTTGGCGATAGAAGTACAAATTTGTCGTCAGCACCAGATTTTTTAATGAGAAGTTTATTATATCAGGGTCAAGAATCGTATCTCTGGCGTTCTATAACTCCACATTTATGAATATTTTTTCAAAAATTTCATGTTTATTACCTTTGATATACTTGAAATTTTTACTTAGATTTTGCATATCTAATACTTGTTCGTTTTTAAAGCCAAATAACCATAAATTCAATGATGAAGTGTCCCATAACAGAGAGTTTAGGAAATGCTATTTTATACAATATATTGCTCACACTGACTGCCGTTATGCACTGAATATAAATAGAGATGAAAGTCTTGCATGCCACTGAAATAAAAACTATTGAATTTTACTATAAATAGCATTTATTGAAAAATTCAATTCCATTTTATTAATAAGTTACGGATGGTATATAATCTAACTGTAGGATGTATAGAAGAAAAAATTTTGTGACTTCGTTTCTATTTGTGAGAACAAACATATTGTAAGACAATTAATATTATAGTACCATTTAATTTCTGATATGGTATAAATGAAGCTTTTTAACCATGCCTGCGCACTAATTATTGGGCTAAGAGGGTAGTTTGCACAGCTTTAATGTCTCAAGTGTTAAGTTCTTTCAGATATAAGTTCTTTCGCAGTTATTCATTTTTTGTGCAGAACTCTGTATGCATAAATAAGTGGTTATGTTCACTATTTTGGTTCACTGGCTAATGCGCTCAGAAATTTTTGCCAGGACAATACAAGTACAGATAAGTCGCTATCAGCCGATCCTTTAAGAAATTTATTGCCTTTGAGTGCAAGAGTAGATTGACCACTATTTGCTATTTTGTTCCATATATAGAATACCACTCAGAATCTCGGAAAAGAAAGAGAAAAAAATTTATAAAATTAAAAAAAAATGATGTCATAATAATTCTTTGATTATTAACCTTAGAATAAAATAAAAATTAAATTTTAAGGGTTTTCAGATTTGTTCAAAAAGGAAAAAATCAACTGACAGCAACGAAAGGCATAGAAATATAGTTACAAACATAGGATGATTTCCCAGGAATTATAGCTCACAATGCGATTATTTTTGAAGTTCTCTGCTTTTTTATTTTCTTTAAGATTTTTTTTCTCTTGGAAATTTTATATCAATTTTATATTAATTTTATATAATAAATATAGTTTAGTACTTTTTGTTTATTAAGGCTTAAATGTCATTATCAATTATTTCCGTTCACATATTTTGATTTACCTCTTACAATTGGATAAATCTGCTTCTTGCTTCTTTGTAATTTTGATAGTAGAGGTTGTCCACATAATTTCTAGTATTCACATACTTGACTTCGCAATGTTTGCATATTTTCATAAGCTAATTCCTAATTTTTAAAATTGTTTGCAAATAATTTCTTAACATACAAAGTGAGCCAAAAAGCCAAAAAACTATTTCCTAGCTGTTTTTTTAAGGAAATGGTATGGTATAAAGTGGTTTAATATGATTAATTTTCCTTTCGAACAAATAATATTCTTCAGTAATATTTCAATAACCTTTCAAACTCCATCAAGATTCCTTAAAAAGTTCCTCGAGATTCTACGAAATCTTTGAATCATTCTCCAGAACCCCGTTATGCTCCCTTAACATTTCGTGTTACATATTCTTTCGCTAGGACCTCCAGGAATGAATTCGAACTCACCAAACTCCCTTATATTTCGTCCATTCGACTCCGTTATTTCCTCCAAATACTGCGAAATATTTTTCTAAACTTTTGTTATACTTATTAATATTACTTAACCCATAATACTGCATACGAAATCTAGGCCTGACTTACTGAAATCTTTGATATTCCCTATTACCTACAGTGTTTTTGAAAAAGTTTCCTAAACTAAGTTAAACGCCATCTTAATATAATCAAAACAG